GCTGAGTGGTATGGAGGTGGAATGCTACACTTACAGGCAAGTATATGTTTTAGGTTCATAAAGCAAACTCAGATCTTTGTGCTGTTTCCTGGTCATTTAAAGCCCTTTTCTTTGCAAACCAGATTATAGGCATCTGTAATTCCCTAGCTAATAGTAAGCATTTTCTGTTCCGTGGGAATAGGTATCATCTCTTACAAAATGTGAGGCAGGGCCTTGGGCAATGTAGCTCAGCTTCTGCCTGTGCTCTGGCAGGTTATTTAGTATTTCCATGCCCTGAATCTCCCATCAGCAAAAGGAATCCCGTATTTCTCCCATTCTACATCCAACAAGGCTTAAAACTCTTCACACGGGCACTGCTTATTTTTAGGAGGCAACAGAGGACTGTGGCAGCAGAGGGCTAGTTGCATGGAAAGTGATCAGACTCACCTGAGCGGGATTATAAAGCACAGAGTGCGGTTAGTCGAGGACTTTCTGGATCCTCTGCAATCATTTAGGCTAGTACTTTCTTATGTGGTTGACTTTCTCTTAGGTACAGCCAGGATTTTGAATTGCCCGCCTGTTTGCCTGTAATGCTGGGGGAGGCAGGCATCAGTTTGCTGAGATGGTACTGCTTCAGCTATTGACAACTGCGGTGACTTGTCTTTTCCTCTGTCTGCCATGGAAGTGAACCCATGTGGTAGCAATGATGGGAAATTACTAAGAGGAAAAAAAAAAAATTCAATGTAGGCCAGGTTTAAAAAGTCCAGAGTAAACACAGCCTCAGCCTAGTACTGTACAACTGTCAAGTCACATTGCAGTAAGTTTCTTGATCCTGATAATTTAACAATTCTTTGGCCCAAGGGTACATCTCTCACTGCAAATCTGCTTCTCCAAAGCCGTTTTATCACTGACCTGGAAGGAAGCAATCGTGGCTTGTGTGTAAATGTATATGACGAGAGCTAATTGGTAATAGCTACAGCACATCTCGCAGGTCTGACAAAACGGACAAGGTTCTCTGAGTATTTTGCTCCCTGAACACTGAGGTAACTGGCCTTCTTCCTGATGATCTTTGATAGAATACAGTAGGCAGAGCCTGCGCATACATATATAAACCTGTCAGTGATTATATACTTAAGATGAGATTTTTATTTTTTTATAAAAGCCTTAAAAACAAAATGCAGATGTCGCAGGTCTTCTTTTGCCCTATGAAAAAATGTTTGCTCTTCTCCTCTTATTTCTAGGCTATTCACGACTTGTCCTTTTTCCTTTGTAGACTGATTGTCTAAGTTTAGCTGCCTAGTTGCAAGAGCTTTTTGAAAGCTGTTCTGGGCCTTAATCACACCCTTTCTGATTGAAATGGGAACCCTTACTCCCCAGGTTCCTGGGAAAGGCCCATGATATAATTGAAAGGTGGGAACTGCTTTTGCCCTTGTTTGTACAGTCACAGAATTCTGGCTAAGAGCCATCTCATGAATTAATGCTGAAAAATAATGGATTTTCTAAGTCTGGTTGGTAAAGTGGAGATAAGGGAGATGAGTAAGGGGATGATGCCTTCTCCCAGACAGCAATTGTAGCAGTGTTTTACGTTCAGGGAGTAGGTCAATCCACTTGCACATTTAATGGATGAGATAAGGGCAGCTTGCACTAAATGAGCTTTCTGAGCAATGTACGATATCAGGGATGCAAAACCCTTCTGGCTGCCTGCTGCTGCAAGGAACTGCCTGCATGCACTTCCAGGCCTGGCAGTTCAATTTGCAGATGATGCTCTCTTGTACTGAAAACAAACACTGATGTGCCTGAGCATCCTGCTATAAAGCAAATGACCACTGAGGCAGTGGAGGCCAACATGTCACCTTTGGGATACAGCTGACCACACTCTACTCAGCACCATTCCATTAGCCGCAAGCCACACTGCAGCAGAGTTGCAAGAAGGATCTGTGTGTTGTGCCCCTCTCCAAACACAGACGCATGTGCAGCTCACAGCAGCCTGCACCCACCTTCTGCTCCTCCAGCCCTGGATGTCAGGCTGGACGAGGCGTCTCCTGGATCCTGACCCGCTTTCTCCAGTTCTGCTCCTCAGTAGACATCTGAGCCTCAGTTTCAGCACTTGTCATCAGATGTTACTTGCTCTGCAGCAGGAGGCTTCCTCTTGTACCAGGAACCCTGCTGGCCTAAATATTGTGCAAACAAAGGAAAAACAATAACTAAAACCAGTCTCTGCCTTAAGGAGCTGACAGCACCTCCCTTATTTCTCCCAGCTTCTGTAAATAAATTCTTGGTAATGTCACTGTTTTTCAGAGAACGATAAAAGGACCTGTCATCACTCCCTGACACTGACTTTTCCTGCCATCCACTAAGCTTTCCACTCCCTCTCCCATGCAGGGAGAAGTTTGTTAAAAATTAGATCTCATCTGATGACTGCTAATTATCTTAGAGGCTGTTGGTAAGATGCAGCAAAGGGTCCAAAGGCAGCACTCAAGAACAGCCCTGTGGGAGGAATGCCGGCTTGGCCAGTGTCACTGAGCAGAATTAGGCCTTCAGGATTTTAACTGATGCTTCTCCAATATGGTGTCTGATAGCAAAGGTACTAAATAAGGATTACTATAGAAGTCTCTCCATATATACACACACTTTTATACATTTGGTTCCGATTTTTAAAAATCTTCCTTTTTGGAACGGGGAGGGATCACATCACCCTTCAGATTTTAACATTTTGGTTGAATTTCATCCTGGCTGTTTTTCCCCACACAGCGCCAAGCTCTGGGAAAGACACTGCACAATAACTTTCTCTTGTGCTAGCCCCAGCACAGTGTTGTCAAGAGCAGAGGACTTGTGCAACAACCTGCAGGCTGCCTGCTTGCAAGAAGTGACAGCCACTTCAGCACAGTCTCCTTCCCGACGGGGTGAATGTGAAGCTAATCCCAGATTCTCATCTGAGACACACTGATCTAATTAATAGTAACTCTTTTGGCTTTATAGGGCGGAGGGTGTCTGGATTTAGATGTGCGTTACCGGAAACAAAACCTGGGCAGCTGTGCATGTTGATAACTACAGATGCACAGCAAAGAGAAACAACATCTGTGTGCAGTGACACAGGAAGGTGATTAAACTTTTCTGCTTCCAGCTCTGCAGCCTGCTGCGCTCTTCTGTCCCTGTAATCTGTGCTCTCTGAAAAGCAATGCAAGCAAAAGAAAATAAGGAGAGAGGCTGGCACCTTAAAAGCAAAGAGCCAGCAAGAGTGGGAAGATGCACTGCCTCTAATGTCCTGGAAAATCTCCGTTCCCTGCTCCTATAGAGCCTGAATAGCAAACCCAAGACCACAGAAAGCACAGGGTAGGAGGCAGATCATCTGAGACAGACACAGGACAGGATCACCCTTGCCCTAACCTCTCCTTAATATCTACCTGCTCTCATCTCCAGTTAACTAATTAGCATGGGCCTTTTGAAGTACGCATGGCCCCTCCACCAAGTACACACCAATTTCCTCTCATCCTCTTACCTCGACCCTCTCTCTGTCCCCAGGCAGCACAGAAAGGAGAAGAGCCCAGAGCTGGCAGGAAGCTGCTGCTGCTGCTGCTGCTGCTGCTGCTGCCAGCGCTGCTGGGAGCCGTCCTTCCTCCACAGGCATTGCACTGTCTGCCCAGGCTTTGCAGCTACTTGAGTTATTTCTATATATAAACTTTGGAGATGCTTTATGCAAGCAATGTGGCACATTTCCAATGCAGCCAGGCCAGCCTGCGGAGGGCATGCGGGGCTATGTGGCAGGGGATCAGAGCAATTCTTCAGCCAGTCCTGAGACAGACTGGCCAACCTGGGACTCTGCTTAGCAACAAGGTCCTGGCAATCTGTGCAGATGATTGCATCCTGTCAAATCCGGGCAAATTCACCCGTGCAAGGAGTTTCCTGCTCTGCAGAGCTTGACTGTATGGCTGAAGAATAAGCCATGAAGCCTTTGAACCGAAGTCCAGGACTCAGAGGTCCTCAGATCTGGAGTCTGCTTGATGGCTTTTCTACCTGATCCTGGCAAATCATGGAAGTCAAGAAATCGGATTATTTTTTCCTCAGTTTTCCCATGGATTTTCTGTCTGACCCTGGGGTGGTTGCTTAGAGCCAGTCTTTGAGAGGACACCTGCAGTTTTCACAGGAACTTCTGACTGCATGAAGCACTGATAATTACACTACAAGTACAATCCACAGGCAACATAGGGCCTTAAGGACTGCTGCACATGGTATCATCACTTTTTGTGAGCTCTGATTTTGGTGGAGCATAAACAATGCAACATTTTACTGTAAGATGCTCATATCTCAGAGGCCTGTGTTTGCACTTTGATGGATTGGGGATCTGAATTTCTGGGGAAAAACCCTTGGCCATCTCCAAAGTTCAGGAGTTGTGATTGAGGCCAGAGCTTCCTCCAGCCCAACTTGCTGCAAAAAGGTGTTGCTGAGCTATAATTAACTGTATTACACAGCACTTTCCTTTTCAGGATTTTTAAAGAGCTTTGCAGATATTAATGACACATAATTACCATGCTTGCAGCACCCTGCAAGACAAAGATATTCCCATTTTGAACATGAAGAAACTGGGGCAGCTCAGTGGGCCACTCACCTGGCGAGGGGCAGCAGCAGCCTTTTAAAGGTGACAAATTGGGGTGACATTTGCAGGCTGAAACTTCACAGGACTGCAAATTTCAGAAAAAAACAGGGGGATTTGGAAGAAATGCCTAGGGAATATTTCCATTTTATTTCTGAATGAATGTATTTTCATCCCTTTGTTTCCAACGCGTTTTCCTTACATGCGGTACTGGGGTATATTTCTGTTGCAAGAATGTCACGTCTTAAGGCCCATTACTAAAAAGCACTTTCCTTCCAGCAGCACAGCTGGGGGTTTTTCCTTCATCTGTGTTAGGTTATTAGGGATCCATATTGAATTTAACATCCTTCTGTCTTCCCTGCCAGGATGATTCAAGTAGCAAATGCTTTTCTGTTTTGGCACAGGTCCTAAATGAATCAGCTTCTCAGACTAGCTCGTCACCTAACGGGATCCTAAATTAAGAGTCCATGTTTTAGATAAAAAGCTGGATGGATCTGAGATAACATGGAAGGAAAATCATGGAAGGCTCGTTCTCTGGGTCTGTGTCAGCCTGACATTGCAAACCGGCATCTGAGTTCAGCCCCGCTTTGCACAGCCACTGCACGAAGGAGGGATTCACGGGGTGTCAGGAGCTGTGTCCTCAACTGGGGAGGTGCCCTGGGGACCCCCCTCACACCCACCCCCCTCACAGCCAGCCCACACCGGTGAGACACAGCAGCTTGCTCCTTCCCACTGCAGGGCCTTTCTCCATTGCTGCTAGTTTGCTTACATCTTGTCCTGTACCAGTCTTTTCACTTCTAAATTTAAAAACAGTCTTCTGTGGTTTTAGCTCTGACTAAGAACTAATAAGCTTCCTTAAAACTATTTCCCTCTAGGCTATGTTGTGCTTTATTTTCCCCAGATTTAGAAGCCACAAGGTGTAGATCCATCCTCCTTCCCTCACACAGAACCGTCACACTGAAGGTACGTAGATCCACCAGCTTGCAGCTTAACTCTGAATTTGATTTGGGTGAAAGTGTGAAATAGATACCTGTGTTGTGTATAATGCTTCTTTTTCCTTAGAAAATTATTATCTCTAACTTTCAGAAACTCTAATTGGCCTTTTCTGTTGGCTGCTTTAAAGAACCAAGTTTCTGTCTCTTAGCTTTGAAGGCACTTAGATGAAGTATTTTCTTTCCCTTACAAACACAGAAAAGGCACCGCGTGCAAATCTGCATGCAAGATAAATCTTATCAAGCTGTTCCCATGTGTGCCATTCGCCAAGGCAATGTCCTGGTCACAGGCAAATCCCTGATTCCCCTGACCTTTCCGTGCTCATGAGCTGCGTGGGAATTTCTCTGCGTGTCTGCCCGTGCCCACGCTGCTGAGCTGGGCTGGTGCACACCCGCCAGAAACACAATCGCTGCTCGGTGATTATGCCCTGTGGCATCACCTTCCAGGCGGTTTTATGCAGAAAATACAGATGTGCTGCACGTCCACGACCCCGCGAGCTGTGCAGCGCAGGGGCGCAGGAAGGACGCGGTGGAGCCGAGGGGCAGGGGCGGGCAGCCGGCAGAAATCACACCCACTCGCAGCTTGCTCCCCGGGCGCTTCAGCGGTGCTCAGTGCGGAGGGCTGGCGTGGGAATACGCGCACGAGTGGCCGTGAACCGTTTAGAGCGTGGGGAGCCACGCAAAATTTCCACAGACACCCGCAGCGCCCGGCTCCCTCCGTTTTACCCGCGGTCCTTGGGAGCGCACACGGCGGCAGCTCACGGTCGGGTTTCCATTCCCCCCCCAACACCCGCTCCCTTCCCACAGACACGCGTGTCCGTGTGCGTGTCCCGCGCGCCCCGCCCCTCTCCGCTGTGGGCGGGGCCAAGGCCGCGGCTGATGCCAGCGCCGACACACCCCCCCCCGCGCGTTGCCATAGCGACGGGCCGGGCTGCCGCAGCCGCACCTGCGCCTGCGCCGCCGCCCCCGGTCCCGTGTGTGTGTCCGTTCTTTCCCTCCCCCCCCCTTGCCCCCAGGGGCCGGTAAGTGCCGGGGGGGCCCTTTGGCTCCTTCGGGCTGGCGGTGAGGGGCGATGAGCGTCGGCAGCGGCTGACCCGGCGGCAGCGAGGGGTTTGGGCGGCCCGGTGCGCTCCGGAGGGGCTTTGCGGCGGGAGGGAGCCGCCTCGGCAGCGCCGCGGAGGGCTGAGCCAGGTGAGGGGCCGGGGAGAGGCGGCGGCTCCGGCTGAGGGGACGCGGGGGGGGGTTTACGGCACCCTGTTCCCTCAGGCAGGCGAGGGGGTGTTAACGGCGTCGTGAGCCCGCCGGAGCGGGTTAGCGGCACGGCTGCTCCGTGAGGGGGTTGTGGCCTCCCCCCGCCCTCACACGCACCCCCGGGGTTACCGGGGGGGCCTTTCCCGCCCCCCGCGGCACTGTGAGGCCGGTCCGTCCGGTCCCCTCTCCTCGAAGGCGGAGGGTGTCAGGCCGCCCCGCTGACCCCTCTCTGCGCTGGGAGAGATCGGGGGTCGCGGTCCCGGGTCCTGCACCGGCTGGAAAAGCAACGCCTCTGGGGAAGGACGATCCCCGCGCCGCCGGGGCGAGGGGCGAGGGCAGCCCCCGTGGGCCGCCCGCTGTGATGCGGCGAGGCCGGGTGGGTGGGCGGGCGGGCTGCCCCCGGCCGCGGTGCCTGCCTGTCCGGGGGCGCTGGACCCAAGTGCCTCATTTTCTCTCTTTAAGAGCATAAAAGACCCTTTCTGTGGGCACTAGAACAGCAGAGGAGAAAAGAGGTTATCCCGCAGCTCACTTCGCGCTTTATCTTTCCATTTCTGCTGGCGAGAACGTTTAATTTCTGGCTGCGAATGCATCCTAGCTCAGGAGGGAGCGGTGCGCCCATTCACCTCCCTCCCTCCCCAGCGGCAGTCTGCACAGTTCAGATCGGCTTCAGTGGAGCTGCTGACTCCCACCCACACCCGCCGGGGCAGGTTTTACATCGCATCCTCTTTCATCCTTCCTAGTCTCCTTTTGTATGGTGCATTTTCACTTTACACAGCGACAACAGTGTCGTCTTCATCAGTAACACGGGGCCTGTAAAGAGAAGAGGGATAGGTGGGTTGTGTACATTTTGGAGTGGGTAGGGAATAATCTTCATTTGAGACGAGATTTTTCCTTCTGAGGAGAATCCCTGTCGCATGTGGATATGGCAGCAAAGAAGTGCAGGGCATCCTCAGACATGGAGATTCTTCCAGCCGCATAGACACTGTTTCCCTATGCAGGACATGGGGTGGGACAGCAGGAAGGAAGGAGGGGCCCTTCCCACGGTGGACAGCAGTGATATGCGTTTGAGTTTGCCTTATTAAATTGTGTGAAGCTGAGACAGTGAAGGTAAATAAAACCCCAGAAGCTGAGGCAGCCCTGAGGGTGGAACTGTCCATTTTGATCTGCATTGCAGGTGCATAAGAAGCATCCAGAGTACTTGTTAGCTTTGCCTAGATGGTAAGATGCTTCAGCGTAAAAAGCTTTATTGTTGCTTTGGCAATATAAATTATGCTCCTTAATTTTTTATTTTTTTTTTAAAAGGACAAATGGATGTGACTGTAAATACAGTGCCTTTTTCCATATAGCTTGTTCGTTAGTGAATGTAATTCTGTAGTGCTTTATTACGACTGAACCTCTGGGAGATAGGCACATTTTTAAACTGCACACTGGTTTTTAATTTGACTATTTAAATCAAGTGCTTTATACACAGGCAATGACAGACTTGTAATGTTAATTTTTCAAGCTTTTGGTTGTACTGAGGTTTCAGCAGTCATTTTAAGTGAAATAACAAATATCTGAAGGTCATAACATGGAATGGTATCAGCTGCTTATGTGAAAAAATATAATGTTGGCTAAACTGACACGTAACTACTTGTTTTCATCCTGTTACCATCCTGCTTAGTAGATTGGTAAAGTTTCCTCCCGCATCACCTTAGGAAAGGGGAAGGTCTCATGACCAGTTCAAATGCTGTATGTAGTTTTCAGTCCAGTAATTGTTGCAAACTCTAGAATAGCCCTCTTATTTCGTTCCTTAAAGTTGTCTTCTTTACTTCAGATTTCAAATATAATTGCATAATTTCAGGGCTTTTAAATTATTTTTTTTTAAATACACTGTGTCATTGGAGTTACAAAAATCAAACTGTTCCTCTGTGTGCCTTAATTCAAGAGGTTGTAGGTATTAAGGATAATATATTTGTTCATCCAGATCTACTACATTAGTCAATCCTTTAACAGCAGTAGGCAGAAAAAACCCTCCCCAGTGCTATTATTGCAGAATGTGGACCATAATGTAATATGAAATATTTCTTGAACATTATAAACAGTATAACAGAGGAGACACAGTATAAACTAGTTTGCAAGTTTACTTTTGCTGCTGTGTTAGACTCTCGTTTCTAGATGTCTCATCACTTTGGCTTTAAAAAATGGCATTTTAAAGTAGCAAAACTTTGAAGGATTGCTTTTATATTCTCAGGATTCTCAATTTATTGTGATACTTGTGTGAACAGAATACTATTATGTAATTCATCTTTTTACTCATTTTCATGTTTAATCTCATTTTTCATAGTAAAGTTTAAAAAAATGTAGCGAATGGTGGTTTATTTTGTACAGAAAACAGACACCATCTTTATATACAACTGTTTATAATGCTTAAGATTTTTTTTTGCTGGCAAGTGACACTTTCTGTATATATGTGTCTGTATATGTATCTCTTAGTAACTAAAAGCGATGCCTTTTAATGAGCAGTGATTTACTGGAAGATCAGCATGTCAGGTAACTTGATGCTTTAGTGGAAATAGTTAAGTGTGTTCTGACTTGACAAGGGCACAGCTCTTCCTACTACTGGTTTAAAAAGCAAAGCCACAGATGAAGAAAGGAAAGATCTAAGGATCCTGGTGCTGAAAAAGGATAGTTGCTTGAAAGGTCTCTGGTTTGGCTTTCTGCAGCCTCTTTCATGTCTGCTGCAGCACACAGAATATTGTGAGTAGCTGTGAAACGTTGAAAAGCATAGACAGAGGTCTGTGTGCCTTATTGCAGCTTCCACACCATTGTTATTGACAGGAATATGCTGCAATAAGGTAATATTGTGTAACCATAACCAATATGGTCAGAACAGCCTCCGGCAGAGCCTGTCCTGTCCCTGGGATCAGTGGTGCTGAGTGCCGCTGCCCAGCGCCGGGGTGGAGTTGAGGCGGGGAGGGTGCCCTTTGTTCAGGCAGAAATCTTATCTCTAGAGCTCTGCCTTCCTTTGCATCTGCAGCATGCCAAAACAAACTCTCTGCTCCTTTCCTGCGTGCTAATCTAATGCGATATTGGAAAAAGCAAATTAAGATAATGGGTGCTGAATTTAACCAGGTTGGAATGTTAGTCCCCTAGTTGGTACCTGCTGTACCTCACCTCCAATTCCTTCGCTTGCTTGACGAGACCTGGCATCCTTTATGTATCTGGCTGTAGTGTCTTCAATGACTGTGTGCCTGATTAGTCTCTGTGCTCATTATTAAGTGATATAAAAATTGTCTTCCTCTAAAGAAGAATGTCCAGCAATGTGATAATGGGTGTTAGTATTTCCATGTGATTGGTGAATAATAGCTTATGGTTATCTACAAGCTCATTTCTCTTCATGATAAAGAATATAGTACTATAAATGGGAGCAATATATTTATTTATTACTAGCAGTTAGAGGCATGACAAAATACTGCTGAAAACAATGTCTTCAGAGTATATCAGAACTTCTGCAAGCTGTTCGTTTGTGTGGGGGTTTTTTAAATAATCCTTGGAAAAAAGCCTTTTATTTGGATAGGTGTTTCTTTCCTTCTGTCAAGGAGCATGCTTGCTCTCATTTCACTCCTAGAAAACCTTTGGTTTATACTTAAAATGTTAAAATACATTGCTGCTTGTTGGTCTTAATTATTTGGGTGTGAGACAAGATTTAAGATCAATATTATTTAAAAACACTGCTTG